ACGGTGAATGTGTGAGTTTATTTGATTTTGTTGTTGCAACCTCATCCGACCGTTGTGAGCAACTTTGGACCAGAAACTCAGAAGCCTTCATTTATGTCCTTGAATAAATGAAACCACGGCTCTGACGACAGAACCCTGAGTGGGCCCTATAGCGACACCAAACGAACTGAGATCAGAGCAAAAGCCTTGGCTGACAGCCCGTTGCTGCAAGCGCTTCCCACAAGAGGACTCCGGACCCAATCCACCGGTTTCAACCCAACTCGAAAACGCCACTGGGGTCGGGCCAGAACCGACTTCCCGAGCCAACCGGCAGTCGAGCCTCGCCACGGGACCTGCGGCAACGGTAGGCCAAAACAAACAACACTCTGTGACTCGTTGGTGTTCTATGGGCTCCATCCACAGTTAATAACCCTTAGATTACCAAAACCCAATTTCGGTCATTCGTTCCCTCATACTCGTAGAATTCTCTCCCTCTACAATAAACTGAAATTCAATCGAACCTTACATAGGCTACCCTGTTTTAGTACCTCCTTGTTGTCATATTAACTGTTATCCCTGTAATATCACCACATTTACCCACAATTGTACCCTCTTTTGTTAGTTAATAAATTCACTTTGAGCACAGCGATGTATGTGTGTGTGTTATTCAGAATCTAGAGTCCCTATACATAGAACTTACGCTCAGATCTGAGACTGACTGATTGACCTTACGATTTCAGAATAACAACTAATGAATTAACCGAACTCTGTATAATTCTCAGGCTATACTCAAGGACCTAAAGCCTTGGGCGGACAAGCAAATCTTTAGGTGGTGCTCCTAATTTCGAGGTATAAATTAATATTCCCGGAAATATTAATTTTCATAACTGTATTAAAATTTTACGTAGCCGAGGTCTGCTACACAGTCTAAACATATATCTGGTTCTACAGCTGTTTCTAAGGTTCCTGAGTTTAGAGATAATTCGGGTCCAGTTGAGGGCAGGTCTTGGTGAATTTTGTCTCTAATAGCTAGAATTTTATCATTAAAGAAGCTCATGAAGTCGAAACTACTGAGAGCTATGGGAATACTTGGCTCAATAGAGCTGTGACTCTCTGTCAGCCTGGCTACAGTGCTGAAAAGAAACCTGTGGTTGTTCCTATTTTCCTCTATTAATGACGAGTAGTACGCTGCTCTGGCATTACGGAGGGCCTTCCTATAAGTTTTAAGACTATCTTGCCAAATTAAACGAGAATTTTCAGTTTGGTGAAACGCCAATTCCTCTCAAGTTTCCGCGATATTTGCTTTAATTTGCGAGTTTCAGTATTATACCATGGAGCTAACCGTCTTTGTTTTATTATTTTCTTTTTTAGAGGTGCTACAGAGTCAAGTGTCATTCGCAACAACAAGATGATCAATTGGGGAGGGACTGAAATTAGCATAGGAGTCCTTTGTTACTTTGTGACTTGATAATGAATTTAGAGCTGATGGAATCGCATCCTTAAATTTAGCACTGTCAGACAGACATCTTGTATAGAAATTTTTGCCCAATGGCGTGTAGTTCAGCAATACAAACTCAAAAGTTATCAAACAGTGGTCGGACAAAGAGGGATTCTGTGGGAACACTATTAAATGTTCAATTTCAATACCATATACTAAAACAAGGTCGAGGGTGTGGTTAAAACAGTGAGTCGGTTCATGAACACTCTGAGAGAAGCCAATGGAATCTAACAGAGCGATAAATGCAGTACTGAAGCTGTCATTCTCAACATCCACATGAATATTAAAATCCCCTACAATAATAACTTTGTCCGTTTTAAGGACTAAAGTTGACAAAAACTCAGCAAATTCAGATAAGAATTCAGAGTACGGGCCTGGTGCTCGGTACACTATAACGAAGAGAATTGGTTGCAGTGATTTCCAACTTGGGTGCGAAAGACCAAGAACAAGGCTTTCAAATGAGTTATAGTTTAGTTTAGGTTTAGAGCTGATTAGTAGGCTAGAGTTGAAATAAGTTTCAAATAAGACTCAATGTCGCCCGCTCTGGCCCCAGGGATGCACTTAACTATGGCCGCTGGCTTCGCTAACTTCACGTTTCTCAAAATGGAGCTGCCAATGATCAGAGTTGGTTTCTCAGCGGGTGTGTCGCTGAGTGGGGAGAATCTGTTAGAAACGTGAACAGGTTGATGGTGCCCCATGGACTTGCTTACGACTATTCCTCCTTCGGACAGTCACCCAGCCCCCCCTTCCTGGCTGCTCAGGAAATCCCGGGGGACGGCTACCAGAGGCTAACTCAGGCCGTTCCGCACCGACTACCGGGGACTGGCTAGCTACAAGGTGCGGAGCCGGGCTTCTAAATCACTGAGCCTCGCCTCCATGTCTACAAATAAACTACACTTATTACACGTACCATTACCGCTAAAGGAGGCAGAGGAGTAACTGAACATCTGACACACCGAGCAGGAGAAAGTAGGAGAGAGAGAGGGAGAAGGAGAAGCCATCGCTAGCTGCTAAGCTAAAGTCGCTAACGGCTAAGCTAAAGTACGGTGGCGTCAGCTACCAAAACTTTAGAACAACTATGAGATTGAACAGCAGTCACTAAAAGATGGAAAGAACTGTGAGTGCTTAGGCAAAATTACTGTAAGAATAAGTGTTTAGCGGACAGTTGGCTGCTGTAATCTAACAAATGTAACTGTTATTTAGCGAGAGCAGCACAACACGGTACCAACACACAAGCACCGGAAACGGAAATGAGTCGACACGCTTACCGCAGTACGTCAGCAGTCAATAGTAACAATATTAACAATAAAAAAAAAATCAACAATATTCAGGGCAAATAGCAAACATCTACTTTGATGGGGGGCGGTAAGGGACCTGGATAATGCATAGGGGGGCGCTGTCCCAAAAAAGATTGAGAACCACTGAGTTAGAGGCATAAATTCACATTTTTGCCAGTTTATAGTATATCCTGACAGCTTTCCAAAATTTTTAATTTGGACCAATAGTGGTGGGATGGACTTTTCGGGCTGCGATAAAAACAGGATTACGCCATCAGCGTACAGCGCTATATAATGATCTATTTTGCCCAGATGTATAGGGATAATTTTTGGATTACATCTGATGCTTATTGCAAGGGGCTCAATACACAAAGCAAACAGCAGAGGGCTCAAAGGGCAACCCTGTCTAACACCACGGTACAGACTGAAAGGGTTGGATCTGTCTGAGTTGGTGAGAACTTATGCGGTTGGATGCGCATAAAGCATTTCTACCCATGAGTTAAGACTTTAAGACCCAGGCCAAATTCCCTTAGTGTTAACAGCATATATTTCCAATCAACCTGATAAAAAGGCCTTGTGCGCATCAAGCATAAGTACTGCAGACTTTGACTTGTTTTCGTTTTCTATATACAATATTTAATAACCAACGGACATTATAAAAAGAAAACCTCCCGGGGATAAACCCCACCTGGTCCGGATGTATTATAGTTGCAACATGTTTATTTAATCTATTTGCTAATATTTTGGTGAACACTTTGACATCACTACCGAGAAGGGCAATAGGTCTGTAAGATGATGGATCGGTCTGATCTTTATCTTTTCAGTATTAAAGAGATGTTTGCCGTATATAATGAATCTGGTAATTTTTTATTCTTTATTGATTCTTTGAACATCCTCAGTAAGAGGGGGGCCACATCATCAATGAATGCTTTGTAAAAATCAATGCCAAGGCTATCATGGCCAGGTGACTTTCCGCTTGGGAATACCTTTATGGCCGTGACAACCTCCCGTAATGTAATTTCAGCATTAAGTACGTTTTGAGCGTTGCAGTCTATTTTAGGAAGCGGGAGGGAGCGCAGGAATTGAAGAATATCCTCTTCCGCTGCAGGGCTATAAACTTATTTATTTCAACAGGTTGTGTAACACTAGAGCTCGTCTGACTTTTAATTTCATGGATAGACCTGCTAGCCTGCGCCCCTCGTAGCTGGCGTGAAAGTATTTGACGTCGATCCGACTAAATCCCTAGGAGGAGTTCGTTAAAGTACGAAGTGTGTAAATCATCCAAAAATGGCCGTAAAATTCAAAATGGATACAATATGGATACAATGAATACAATAAAATACTTCGACTGGAGCTACTGTAGCTAGCACACCCTCCTAGAGTGTGTGTGTGTGTGTGTGTGTGTGTGTGTTTGTGTATTATATAACATTAATCATATCAGCCACCTCCCTAGCTGCTAGTTAGAGGCTGCCGTAACAGTGAGCTGGTAGCTTGTTGTTAACATGCAGGTCACACTAGCTGAGTTCCCTTTTACACTGTCAATAGATTGGATTATTCTGCAGTCAACAGGCTAACACTACACCATGGGTGTTTTTGTGTCCCTGTGCCTCCCCCAGCTTATACTGAATTTCTGCTGCACAAGACAGTCAGACTCATCTAACTTTTCCCTGGTATTGACTTTACTCACATATCAGAGAAAAATGGAAGGAAAACCCTCTTATCTGAACACATTACTCTCTGCTGAAACCCCTATTCATTCCTGACAGCTTGATTTCCCCTCCCTCTTTCCTCCAGTGGAAAGAATGGCAGAAATTTAAACCTGGGTTACAATTTATCACCGAGCAGCATACACGGTAAATTTTAGCAGTGCCAGAGAAGGAAAAATTAGGCGCTGATACAGGAGGGTAGTTTGGCAGGTGATCTGCCAGAGAAGGACCCACAGGACCACACTGACAGAATGTAATAAATGATGAATAATGGTGTTTACAACCACGGGGGGTGAAATTATATCATTAATATCATTATTTTCATGTGCAGGATATATTTGCTCTTTAATCTCAAAATAAAGAGCAGATCCAATATACAGAACATATTCTTGGTTATGTGTCCAGATCAGTAATGCAACCAGGAGGTCTTCGAAACATGAACATGGAAATCATGTTTTTCAACTACGCAAACCCTTCATCACTGCTATCTAAAATGAAAGTTATCAGGAAACAAGTTAAAGGATTTGAAAAACAGAAACATGTAGCCAGCTATGGATTTATTGAAATAGCTTAGATACAGACAGCAATGAGTGAGAGCCAAACCAAACCAAACACAACTGTGAAGCTTTTAACTCCCTTTTTTGGGAGCAGCACCCTCACTGTGTAATTTCCATCTAAAATGTGCTTGATAAATGTTTGATAAATGAATCATACTTTTAAATCATTTTCCAAAGAACATGAGTCATTATAAACACATCTAATAAATGCAAATCTTTAAAAAATAATACCAGCATAAAACATGGACAAAATCAAAACACAAATAGTCCAAAGCAGGTTCAAGGTCACGTGGAAAATGACTGGACAATGAGTGTGCACACTTGATTCATTGTTTTTGGAGAAGCGCACTATATTAGGATAGCCTATAGATGATCTAATGTCAGGTGCTATCTTACACTAAGCACAAATACGTGTTTGTTTTTTTTTTTACAAATCATAGTGACATTTTAGTAAGGTGTAGTAGCATTAGTATCAGCTTTGGACAATCCAAATTAAGGGTTACCTGGAAAGTTCTTTATCACTTCAGTAGTATAGTACAGAGCGGGAGGAGAGAGAACACACAGTAGCACCATGCAAGTTCCACATAGAGATGTAAGGTAATGTGGCTACTAGTAAGGCAATATGTATGTATGTAATTACACAGAGCTAACCACTTTTGGCATAACATTCAAATCCCTTTACATGTAGGGATAGGGTGGTTGTATTATGTCTCTATCAAATAAATCTTGTCTTAAAGCTCAAAATCTCTAATTCTGTCATGCTTGCTGGTGCAGATAACTTATTATGTTGTGTGAAAAATGTGCAGTATGACCAAATGTGGGCTGACACACTTAAATACCATAGTTTCATTCACTGTGATAGGCAAAGATGATCATGGTGAGCAGGAGGTTTGTAGCAGAGATGACCAGCAGCTACTTCTTAATAGCACCAGAAAACTTGGCCTTTGTTTAACATCATCAGCGCTGTCAATAATCTCTTCTGCCAAAGGATGCTTGCAGGGAAAAAACGGCCCAAGCTGACCATAAATAGTTCTCCACAAAGTGTCTCAAGGCAGAACTATAACTTTAACTAACTTTTGATATAGTTGTAAGCGTTCATAGTAATTATGTTCATATTGAACAAATCTGCAGCACATCATCTATGTCCAGTGTCAATGTTGAGTGCCTGTGCACTTTATGTAGCTAAGGGGAAGTAAGGAGTAAGGTTCCTCTCTCCTCCTCTCCCTCTCCATCTGTAGGCATTCTTATCCCATTAATCCATGTTACTAACTCCACTTCTTCCCTCTCTATCAGTCATTCTCGTCCTTCTCCTCTCTCCTTCCACCAATTTCTGCAGGTGTTTCTGGCTTCAGAGCTGTGGGGTCTGAATCTTTGGGGTCTGCATCTGTGGCTCCCTGCTGCCCCCATGTACTTGCTCGACACCAGCTGCTACAATTATAATTAGCCTTTTATTATTATCATTGACATTGCTATCATTACTATTACTATTTTTCATTTTCATTGATCTCTGTACCACTACCACCTTTCCTGTTATTTTACATCTCAAAATGGAACTTGCTATCTCTCTCCCTCCAAATATTCCACCAATTACTGTCTTACTGTCTGTTCCTAACCTTAACCAAGTGTTTAATTCCCTAAACTTAACCACACCTTACTTTTAGGTTATTTGCCATTGCCAAAATATTTCCCTACTCTTACCATAGCCACAATATTTCCCTACGCTTACATTTTTTGTGACATGCACAATGCAGAATGTCACCAAAACGGATTTGTAAATGAACTGCTGGAATAGGAAAGCCACACAAGACCAAACCTTGGAAATCACTGGTGCATCATGTACAAACAGTTCAGGAAAAGACAGAAGAAAAAGATTTGTATATGCAGAGCAGGAGTGGAACCATCTCTAAACACATCTCCTAAACGACATGTGAATGGTGAAATTAGCAACATAGCTAACCAAACTGTGTCATATCGAAATGTCTCATGAAATTTTTATACAGCACGTATTTGTTTCTCACTAGGGTTGGGCACAGAAGTCGGTTATTTCAGTTTTAATCCTGCTATAGGCAAAACGGTGTCCCTACTTGTATTTCGTTACTTTCCACCGCTACAATCTAAGAAGAATACAAACTCTTACAGCTGTTTGTTGTTCAGTTGTTTTTAAACCCATTGTTGAACACATGGCACTACTGAGAAACAAACATCTCCCCTTCCTAAAGCTCATTTAGTGTACTTTTTGTGGACATATTGGTTCTGCTCTGTTGACTGACAGAAACATGCCTCTTTAACCCGGGGAAATGTTTCACCAGCAGCTGTCTAAAATAGTTCTGAAACTTTTTCCCAACAAATGTGTAGAAGATGGGACTGATGCAAAAGTAAATGTAGGCAATATTACGAGTGACATGAAGAGCATAGCCCCTTTTCTGTGATTCCTCACAGGATGTAGCTTCATCATGCATCAGCAGTGCAATATTGAATGGGGTCCAGCAAATAAAAAACAACAGGACAATGATGAATATTAACCTGACTGTCTTGAACTTGGTAACTATCTTGGATGAAATGACAGTGATAGCAATCCTAACGTAGCAGTAGATGATAACAACCAGAGGGAAGATTAAAAAAAGGAAAAGTTGAAGGTAAAATCCAGATGCTCTCAGCAGCCTCACATTAATATGAGATATCTCACCAGGATAGTCATGACAGTATGTTTTGTTGTCAATAAAATAAGTAAATGTGGTGTGGAGAATCATTTGCTTGACACATGCCAGGCCACTGACCAGCCACACCACAGCGCAGGAGACTACTGCATATTTTTGATTCCTCACTTGTGACACGTTCAAGGAGTACACAACTGCAAGGTGTCGGTCGAAGGTCAAAAGAGCTAGAAAAAGGACAGAACTGTAGAAGCCCAGGTAGTAGACACTGCCAACAATTTTGCACATGACTTTGCCGAAGATCCAGTTGGAGAGCTGCATGTAAACACCCATGAAGGGAAGGCTGCTCATGAAGATCAGGGAGGACACCACCAGGTTCACCAGCAAGATGTTGGTTACAGTGTTCAGCTTCTCAAACCTGGGAAAAAAAACAACAGTGCTTATAGGTCACACGAGCATTTTTGACTGTTACTGTTTCACACTAACTAGAGGTGCTTTCAGTGGAATCCCTGCATGTGTGATTGGTTGGTGGCAGGGAAGTAAATTTGGACATCTTTAACTTATTAAAATGTGGCATAATATGTCTGTCCACAAAACTTGGAATTCTGTTAACTTCCCCTCCCTCCTCAGAGCTGGCCAGCTCCACCCCCTCCCCTCCTCTCTACATCACAGAAAGTAAGTCGACGGTCTTTTCAGGAGGCAGAAACCCCGCAAAGCAGTTGGTCCGGACTCTGTCTCCCCATCCACTCTGAAGCACTTTGCTGATCAGCTGTCTCCGGTGTTCACAGACATTTTTAACACCTCATTGGAGACATGCCATGTGCCAGCCTGCTTCAAAGCCTCCACTATCATCCCTGTCCCCAAGAAACCAAGGACCACTGGACTAAATGACTACAGACCCGTCGCCCTGACCTCTGTGGTTATGTAGTCCTTTGAACGCCTTGTGTTGTCCCACCTAAAATCCATTACAGACCCACTCCTGGACCCCCTGCAGTTCGCCTACAGAGCCAACAGGTCTGTAGATGATGCAGTAAACATGGCCCTTCACTACATCCTCCAGCACCTGGACTCCCCAGGAACCTACACCAGGATCCTGTTTGTGGATTTCAGCTCTGCTTTTAACACTATCATCCCGGCCCTGCTGCAGGACAAGCTCTCTCAGTTGAACGTGCCTGACTCCACCTGCATCTGGATCACTGACTTCCTGACGGACAGGAAGCAGCATGTGAAGCTGGGAAAACATGTCTCTGATTCCAGGACCATCAGCACCGGTTCCCCTCAAGGCTGCGTTCTTTCCCCCCTTCTCTTCTCCCTGTACACCAAAAGCTGCACCTCCAGTCATCAGTCTGTTAAGCTCCTGAAGTTTGCGGACGACACCACCCTCATTGGGCTCATTTCAGGTGGGGATGAGTCCGCCTACAGGTAGGAGTTCGACCATCTGGTGACCTGGAGCAGCCAGAACAGTCTGGAGCTCAATGCTCTGAAGACCGTGGAGATGGTTGTGGACTTCAGAAAGAGCACAACTCCACCCTCCCCCATCATCCTGTGTGACTCCCGAGTCACCACTGTCATGGGCACCATCATCTCCCAGGACCTCAAGTGGGAGCTGAACATCACCTCCATCATCAAAAAGGCCCAGCAGAGGATGTACTTCCTGAGGCAGCTGAAGAAGTTCAGCCTGCTGTGGTGTATAACATATGTGCATTTGACCATTACAGTTTAAAATAATACTCTAGCAGCTGGAGAGAGGCTCAGTGAACTCTTAGGGGAAGTAATGATTGATGGGTGTGCAAAGAGTGAACCCTCCTATGGAATTTGACCTCTGACCCAGTGTTAGGGGGAGTAGAGATTAGTGTGTATGAAGGGACTGAACCCTTCTATGGTGTCTAACAGATGTTTTCACTTATCCTACAGCACTGTACCCTTATATGGTATTTAGCAGATACCTAAACATGTCCTATATAAGCTGTGTTCAATGTACAGAGAGAGTGGCCATCGGGCTGGGTCACTCTCCAAGCTGCTGCAGAGCTTGTAATTGATGCTGAATTCCTTGATGTAATAAACTTTTATAATCAAGAACAGTGTCAAGCGGATTTCTTCTCAACACATCATCGCAGCATTATTGTTCGGACACCACACTGCCAAAGACAATGATGGTGCACTTCTACACTGCCATCATTGAGTCCATCCTCACCTCCTACATCACCATTTGGTACGCTGCTGCCACTGCCAGGGACAAGAGCAGGCTGCAGCGTATAATTCGCTCTGCAGAGAAGGTGATTGGCTGCAATCTTCCTTCTCTTCTGGACCTGTACTCCTAGAGGACTCTGAGGCGAGCAGGAAAGATTGCAGCTGACTCCTCCCACCCCGGACACAAACTGTTTCAGACTCTCCCCTCTGGCAGGAGGCTGCGGTCCATCAGGACCAAAACCTCTCGCCACAAAAACAGTTTCTTCCCATCTGCAACTAGTGTCATTAACAAGGCCCGGGTCCCCTACTGACACTCCCCCCATACAATGTGCAGAGACATACAAATGTCTCTGCACATGTAAATACTGTTTCATCTCGTGTCGGGCACAGACCTGGCATTTCGCACATATTTGTTGTTGATTGTTGATCTTTGTTGTTGTATATTTTTATGTTGTCAGTTTATATATTTATATGTACACAATATTCTATTCCATTGCGTTACTTCTGCATGGCACAGACCCAGAATAATGCACATGTATATATCTGTAATGTTGTTCTTCCATTCCATATTTATTATATTTCTACATTTGTTTATGTTGACTGTATGCTTGTCTACGTGGAAGCACCTTATCACCACAGCAAATTCCTCGTATGTGTAAAACACTACTTGGCAATAAAGCTCCTTCTGATTCTGATTCTGATCATTAATATGTAAACAGCCTTTTTGAAACTGTTTTAAGGTCTCGTTATTGGTCCCTGATTCCAGGATGGTGCCCTGTATTTATTAATGTTCATTAATAATATCTTTGAAATTCAGCTAATGACCAAACCTGCACCTATGTTGATCCCCAACAAGAAAACTCAAAATACTTGAAATAGTCCTATCCCGGGCAACATAACACTCCAACTTCCTAGCAGTACAGCGAGCTGTTAGATAACAAGCTGCACATGTACAACACCTCAACAAAGGTAACCAACTATATTGTAGTCACAGTTGCTTATAACATGATGAAAAATGACTGACTTCTTTGTCTTTCTGTAACAAAAAGTTTTTGACAATGTGAGTTTGTTTGGCTGCTCTGTAAACAACAAAAATGGCCTGTTGTTACAGCTCTTCACATGAGGCCCATGCATACACTTGCTTCCTATAACTGATTGTTTGTGACAGATTCTTTTCCAGTTACAGCTATTGTCTCTATCATGTCTGTCATATATGTAGCACTGTGGGATGAAGAGGAACAATATTTCACACCTCTGTGTGTTTTTAATATATTGGGAAAGTGACAATAAAACTTAAACTTTAAATTTTAAATGA